AACACAGAGGTTAGGAATTACTCATGATCCTAGCATTGTAATAGAACAAGTGCTCTGATGGAGGGGTTGGCAAACTGTGGCCCACTGTCTGTTTTTATAAATAAAGCTTTATTGGCACACAGCCACACCCATTCATTTATGTGTTGTCCATGGCTGCTTTCCTGGTACAACTGCAGAGTTCACTAGTTGTGACAGACACCCAGTGACCGCAAAGTCAAAAATACTTAGTATCTGACCCCTGGGATAGAGGAAGGGCTCATAACCCAGACTTGAGGAGGAAAGGTGTGCAAAAGCTTCCAAGAGAAGGATATGCCAAGCTGAGTCATGATGGACAAAGAGGTGGCAGCCTGAGGGGATCCCAGGCCAGAGTCACAGCATGTGCAAAGGCCCGGAGGCCTGATACTGCCAGGAGCTGCAGACAGTGTGTCTTATCAGAGCACAGAGTGGGCTGTGGGAAGCAGGACAAGAGGTTAGAAAGACAAGGTTATGGCTGAGATGGCGCCTCTCTTGCTGGGAATGCCAGAATTGCAGGGCTGGCTCTGGAGTCGGCTGAGGACTCTGGCCTTTCTCTGGGGCCGGAGGAGCCCCCAGACCTGGGTCTCAGCGGCACCTCTGGAGGCATGGTTTTGTGTCTCCACCATCAGGCAAGGCTTGCTTGGGGTGCCGTAGACCCCTCTCTGCCCAGGCAGCCTCTCCTTCCTTACACACCCCACCCCACCCCACCCCAGCCAGGTCAGCAACTTCCCTGAGCCCTCCAGGGCCACGAGGAGGGGAGCTTTCCCTGAGATCAACATAAGTCACGTCTTGTGTGTGCATGTGTTTGATTATGAAAGTCGGACATGCTCACCATAGAAAGTTTGGAAAATATAAAAAGAATATAAAGCAGAAAAGAAAATCACCTGTGATTGAGTCCCCCCCGGAGACCACCATTGGGATGTTGAGCATCTCTCCTTCCATTTTTTTTTTCTTAGTGTAGTTGAGATTACAACGTGTATGTGGCTCCTTTTCATGTTACATGTTTCATGTGACCATTTTCCCATGGCCATTAAACAATCTTCATAAGCATGATTTTTTTTCTTGAAAAAAGTTTCAAAGAGTGATGACTTTATTGTTTTTGTTAAATGGTGTGTTCTCATTAAGAGCAATTCTGAGAACACAGAAAAGTACGTAAAGAAGAAAGGAAAAAACAAAACACTTGGAAATGTAACCATTTAGATGGTGGTTACTCAAATGTATTCACTCTGAGAAAATCGTTGAGCTGTGCCCGTGTGATTTGAGTAATTTTCTATATGTGTGGTCTTCAGTTTAAAAAAAGTTAAAATAAATCTTACCTCTCCCAAACAGTCATTGTTATTATTCAGGAAACATACCACATATATCTATGTCTTATGGGCTTTGCGTTAGTCAGGGTTCTCCAAAGCAACAGAACCAATAGGATGTATATATACATAGCATACAGAGACAGAGAGATTTATTTTAAGGAATTGGCTCACATGATTGTGGAGGCTGGCAAGTCCAAAATCTGCAGATTAGGCTGCAGGCTGGAGACCCAGGGAAGAGCTGGTGTTACAGTTCGAGTCCCAAAGGCAGTCTGTTGGCAGAATTCCCTCTCCTCCTGGGGAGGTCAGTCTTTTTCTATTCGGTTTTGAATAGAAACTGATTGGATGAGGCCCACCCATATTATGGAGGATAATCTGCCTTACTCAAAGTCTGTTGATTTAAATGTTAATCTCGTCTAAAAAAATACCTTCACAGAAACATCTAGAATAATATCTAACCAGATATCTGGGTACTGTGGCTTAGCCAAGTTGACACACAAAATTAACCATCACCGGCATTTATGTGGGTAGAGAAATGGAAGGATGGAGGAATGTCTGGGTGACAAATGGATGGATGGAAATAATTTTATATAAGCATGACTTTATAGTTGCAGAATGGTACTTTATAGTACCATGATTTATTTAGCATTCCCGGAGCTGGGCAATTTGGTTAAGTCCTACTTCTCATCAGTCATGTAAACAGGGGCATATTTGCCATCTGCGAGTGCTGGCTCAGCATCCGCCTTGGCACGGGGGATGGAGAGTTGGGTACCACACGGCCCTGCCCACAGGAGCCCTCGGTCGGCTCACACTTGGCTGCCACTCACTTTGTGGTTTCAGATCAGAAGAGCCCTCTCCCCAGTGGCTAAAGGAGCTGAAGTCGAAGAAGAGGCAAAGCCTGTATGAGAATCTGGCTTGAGCAGGTATGAGGGGCTCTGGTGGGGCCACCTGGACGGGGCCTGCAGTCCGAGGAGTAAGGAACGTGGGTGGGAGGCGAAAGTTCAGAGACTTGGGGTGTTGTACCCCAGGAGAGAGAAGGGAAGAGAGGGTGAGTGTGCCTGGGTTCCTGTGACGAGGGTGGTGATGATCTGCTTCCTCTTGGGGAAAGAACCACAGCTGGCAGCCCGGGTGGGCGAAGAGTCAGGTGACCGGGGCTCTCGTCTCCTGCACTGGGCTGCCCTTCTCACTGCATCTCAGTCCCCTTTTGTCAAAGATCAGCTTGATCTGCAGTGTTCCCAGTTTCTACCTTCATATAAAACCTGTATATGAAAGAAACGATGAAAAAACGAAACGGTTAGATATGCCCTGGTGTCGGTCCCAGATGACTTATCATCTTGAGTTCCAGTTTCCCATCTGCCGAATGGGGTCATGGCAGTCGCCGAGTGGTTCCCCGGGTGCACTGAGAATGCACCAGAGTGCTGCCTGTAGGTCCTGGGGATGGGGGCACACGGTACCCGCTCCCTAAGAGTCAGCTCTGGTGGAGCAGCGTGGAGACCCACCACCCCCATCCACAAACCCGAAATCCAGGAAGCTCTGAAAACAAAGCATTTTCATCACTTAGCGGCAAAACCAGACCTGCATGGATGTCCATACATTACACGCAGGTCTATTGCATGCTCGTATGGGGGCGTTACATAATATATACGAATATATGTCACATAATATTTATATATGTGTGTGTGCGTACGTGTGTGTGTGTATGTGTATATAATAAACTCCAAAAAATTCTGCCTTCCCCAGTGAGTCTGTGCTCACGGGTTTTGGATGAGGGATCGAGCCTGTGTTTATTTTGTGTTTATGTCTGTTAAGCCTCCAGCAATCCAGGTGAGGACCCTGAGGCTGGATCCCTACCTGACCCTGAATTTCACGTTCATTCCACTGTATCCAGCTGCCCACCCCCTTCCTCACTCCATCCCTCAAAAAACACAAACTTCGTCTTTCCTGGCCTATAGCTCATGGGAGTGGCCGTCTTGGGGAATACCAGAAAAGGTTTTAAGGCCTGATGGTGGCAAGAAATGGGGCCACATGTTTCGCCTACTGACACCAAGACTGTCCCTTGTTCTCCCGACAGGGGACACTGCCACGTCTAATGAACAGAAGCCTTAACTGTCAGAACCCCAGACGAGGCCACGCTGCTGCCGTTGCTTCCTGCACTCTGGTTCCCCGCGGGGCCCTTCTGGTCGGGTGGAGAACGCTGTCCAGTGCCCCCCGAGGGCTCTCCCCCGCAGGATCGGGGCGAGAAGGCTCACCCTCCACAGGCACGTCTCCCCGGACAGCCCTTCAGGCCGGGAAAGGAGCCACGCTGCCCAGAAACGTCCACGCTTGCGGTTTTGTTTTTACGTAAAAATGTGCATTTCTACCCACTTCAGACACCTGCAGCAGCTCCAGGAACATGGATGTGAGGCTGGACCATCTCCCCGGATTCTGGAAAACACCTGAATTGTGAAAGCATCCCTTCCTCTCGCCCCAGGGTGGGACTTTTTCAAAAGGACGTTTCCAAGGAGGAAGAAACCGTTCGTTGCCTGCTGTAATTGTGGTCCAAGGCAGGACCACCCGGTTGGGGGTTTTGACAGCTTTTTTGGAGAATTCCATCTCCCTCTCGAAGAATCGGCAGTTCTGATTTTTAAACATACCCACCCTCATTCTTTCAAGTGTATTTTTCCTTCCAGCGGGGCTGTGTGCACAGTCGACCTGTTTCATCGTATGTCACTTTTGTTTGCTTTAGAAGGTGATAAAGCAATAATTCCGCCACTTTTCTTTGAAATTCGATATGTATATACGTTTTTACGTTAAAGAACAGGAGGAAGGATGTGTGAATAGTTTGCTCGAAATATCCGATCATCTCAGGTTATCTTATCTCGATCCAAGCTTTTTAAAAAATTCTGATTGTCACCCTTGTATATACTTTCCTGGTTTCTTTTCATTTGAGCTCTGATTTCTGTGGAGTGACCTTTGTCCCTTGGCCTCAAGGGTTCATAAACTGCAGCCCAAATGGCAGTGCCTTTCCAACTCAAACATCAGACCCGACCCGAGCATCTTTTTCTCCAGAGTCTTTTTTGGACAGCTCCTGAGCTACTGGCCTGGAAGAACCATTCCAGATTGGCTTCAGAACAAATGCATGAATGAGGGTCCTTTTGTTTCTTGTCACTTCTTCCTGCTCCAACCCCAACCCCGGCCCCGCAAACTCCACCTGACCAAGTGCTTTTTTTAGGTCCAAATGCGGGAAGGGAGAGTCTTGCTAAAAGCCCTTCTCTGGAGGGGGGCCCCAGGCCCGGGGGCTCTGGACAAAAGTGCCGGATGCTAGGTGACGAAGTGTAAGGTTTGCCTTGTCTCTTTTTCTCTTGCCAGCTCTAAGCTGCTTCCCAGGAATCTCCAAGACCCTTCGGGGCCCCAGACACTCTCTACTCTGTCCTTCTTTTAGGAAATCCTCCACCTCTGAAGCCCAAGGCTCCAGCAGACATCCCAGATATGCTTGGCTGGCCACCCGCCATGCCTGGAGTTGCCATACTTTTTGTGCCAACCTAGCCTAGGAGATGCCCATTGGTGAGATGCTTGGGCAGTTCATAGGGCAGCCTGTGATTGCTAAGGGGCCCTAGGGCTGAGTTTCCTAATGGATCCATGCACAGCACTGGCTAGATATGGAAGTAGGGGGGCACATGCATGACCCCCTACCTCCCCCCAGGTTCCCAAGAGGTGAAAATCTCTCTTGATCAATCCATTATCTGCAAATGGTGTCAAAACATACCTCCTTCCTCTCTGGCCACCTCTCCAAGAGTCTCCATTTGTCTCCTCTTCTTGCCCCCTTATTTCCTTTTACCACCTCTTCCCTCTCTTGGGAATGGGGTGGGAGTGGAGAGTAATCCTGTTTCTCCAGGTTAAGACAAACATCTGTGCCCCGCGTGGTTGTGGTTCAGCACCACGGACAGTGGCCGCAGGGCCCCTCCCTCCCTGAGTCCTGTTGGCTGACCGTGGGCTGCTGATGGGCAGTTGTTGGACCCTGTCGCCTGCCCAACCTGGTGCGTCTGGAAACCTCATGCGTCTGTGTCTGGAGGTTTGGCCATTAATAGTTTGTATTTCTTCATTCCCTGAGTGAGTGGTCAGTCAGTTCCCTGTGGCCATTTGGGGATTTAATTCCTCCAGGAACTGCTTCCCTTGACTTTTTTTTTTTTAAGATCAAGTTCATCTTTTATAACAGTTTTGGTGTAGTGGATTTCCAGCTCAATCAGCCCCCTTCAAAGACGCTCCTAGTGTGTTTTGACCCCGACTTCTTTTCTTGGCTGCTGTCTTTCTTCGTCTTTCTCAAGGTGGGAAGGGTACCATCTTGGGCAGTAAGAATGACCTGCTCTGTTTGGGGAGTATATCGATACTCACCATGCAAGACTCTCGGTTCTGAATTCCTCATGTTTTAGCCCAAGTATACCCGACAGGCAAGAAAAAACACTTGAAAATGAGATTGACCTGGAGATCTTTTGCCTACACTCCCACACCTTGACTGGAAATAAAAATCCGTTTAGTTCCTTGGTGATTTGGACATACCAAGTCCGCCCCTTGAAACTGACCAGGGCAGCCTCATCTCTCCCCCACAGAACAGACAATCCCCGTGGGCCAGAGCAACGCCCTTAATGCAGGCTCCCCGTGACCTCTGGATCCGCCATGGTCAGTGCAGTGAAGTTAGACGTGGCTGCTCCCTGGGGCCTCTGCGGGTGGCTGGGCGAGTGGGTTAGTTATTTCTCCTTTTCGTAAACTGAGTGAGCTATTTGGGGCTAAGCAAGTGGTTGTATGCTAGTTTCTCGAGTTTGCCTGGAGCCACCTTTGGAAATCTGTCTCCTTTTAAACTAACTTAATATGCCTTAATCATTTGTATGGAATCAAGTCACCTGCCCTCATCCAGCACTCCTCCTGTGGGCCTTTGGCTCTTAAATGAGAGTCTTACACAAAATGCAAATTCCTACGTATGTGCAATCTCTCTCTCTCTCTCCGCGCGCGCGCGCACACACACACACACCCTTTGCACGTCAGCATTTTGTTGGCTGGTCTTTGGACACATCTGTCTCTCTTTCCCCTCCAGCAGATCCCTTCTTCATGGTCCCTTGCCTAATGAAACAGGCCTTAGGCCTGTGAAATTCCACGGCAAGACCTCAAGAATTAGTGTGTGGAGAGTCCCTCAGTGCCACCAGAGAAATGCTGGTGAAGAAGAAACCTCACGGTGTGTGGGATGTTGGAGGCTTTGAGTGACACGGACCTGACAGCTTTGGATTGTCTAGGATCCGGGGAGGGGACAATCTGATGGGGATGTTTTCCAGGGGGACAAGTCAAGTCGTATACTTTCAGACAAATGTGTTTTCATTTGTGCGTCTGGTGAGTGCGGCCAACTCTAGGTGTTGCTAAAGAGGAGGATAGAAACAGGCATAAACCAGAGATCCCAAAGCTTAGAGGCTGTGCAAGGGTTTGGAAGAACCCTTGGCATGAGTTCGCTAAAGGGGACCTCAGCTGCCCGCACCTGGTGCTGATAGCTGCCTTGTCCATTTACGCTTTTATATCTTCCATCATGATGCCCCCAGACTGGCCCAGGAGCTGGGCATAATTACAAAGCTAAAAAATCCACAAGTGCGTGGTCGGATCACCTCTGACACTAAAAGCTTTCTTAAAGGTGACGGGGGCCTGCACAGAAGACAGCCTCCCAGCCTAGGAGATGAGGAGGCGGCCCTCCAGCCTGCCTCTCCCTCGTCGGTCTCTGCTTCTCCCTGTCTGTGCCTGTGGTCCCTCCCACACAGCCCTGTGCCGTGATACAGGAAGCTAGGTTACTGCTGCCTTTGTGTACACTAGCATTTCAGTGTACACAGAGCCCGAGGGGAGATGGGGAGGCGGGAGAAGAGCTCTCTCCAAGGGGAAATGCCCTCCCCGTCATTGGAGCCGTGGCGGGTCACCGCAGTAGTGGAGAAACGTGTAGCCTCTGCGTGTGCCTCTCCTCCTCCGCCATGTGTTAAAACAGGGAAGCACAAGTCCCAGGACACCGTGAGTCGTGGGGTGGGAGGGTGCCCCTGAGGCAGGCATGACCCACTCCACATCTGGAAGGGGGTCTACTTTGAGCTCAAGGCTCATCCTCTTAGGGAGTGGTGCCTCCAAGCTCTATGCTGAGAAGATGCTGGGAGTCACCCCGTTGGAATTCTGGGCAAGCTGCAGTTCTGGAAATGTGCGGCCATGTAGAGTGCCAGTAGGCATGAATGTGCTGGGTCTTGGCCAGTCTGTGTCTCCTTTTGCCCCCTCCAGCCCTCCAGAGATTTCTTTCTTTTGTCTGAGTTGGTTCCTGCGGGGAGCAGGGCAGAAAGCCGGGTTCTGGAAACTCAGCCTGAGGTTTCTGGCCAGTTAACCTCCCAGCCTCTCCCCCTTGCCCTTCCAGAATCTCCTTAAATAGTCACCCTCACACCTGGTGCCGTAACATCTTCTTCCACGAATCAGACTGGCACTTTTTTGACAATCTCCAGTTGTGTCACACCTGCTAAGAAAATTATGCCGTTGTCTAAAGAAGAATTTGAGCTTTTTAATGCTCTCTTTCCGCATAGCCTTATAGATCCTGTAAATAAGGGGCTCACAAAAGTAATATATTGTATTATGGAAGGTATTTTGTACTGTGTTGTTTCCTAAATCATCCCAATATCCTAGAAGTCAGGAACTTCCCAGATGATTATGATCCTCAAAACGCTTTGTAAGATGGGGGGAGTGGAAATAGACATAAATACACTATGTATTTTCCTAACCTCCCTTCCTCAGATATCTGAGTCACGACAGAGAAGGACCCAAGTCCTGTGTAGGAAAGTTAAGTCTCCTGCCTGCTGGCGTTCTTGCAATTGCCTTATGAATTCACAAACTCTAGGACTTCTGGACAGAAGGCGGACGAGAGGCGCTTTATCCAACCCCAGAAGGAATCTCTCCTCGCGTGACTGACAATTCATCTAGAAAAACCTATATTTTTAACGTTAAAACAAACGGGGCTTGCTGGACCTCACAGAGTATCGGATGTCTACAAGTGCTTTTATATTTTGTAACTGTAAAGAGGTTTCCTACGCACCGAAGAGCAGTTGGGAATCTGGCCGACTGCTGTACAATAAGATGACCTTTGCATGTACAAAGATGTCGCATTCAGACTCTGAAAACAGCAAATAAAGCTTTGATGCAAGTTGCGTTGGAGAGGCCTGGCGTGTGCGTGTGTGGATGAATGGACTCTGCCATGCGTGCAGGGCCGTCATCAGCTGAGTCGGTCTCTTGTCTGTGCGGAGCTGGGGGCCGGGCGGCGGGAGGGGGCGGCTGGGGTCCTGGGAGAGGGGCCCCGTGGAGAGAAAGCAGGATTTCCATTCAGTGTAGGGTTGAATCCTCATTCTGCCAGCTCCTGTCTGTGGGAATTCTCTGAGCGTTGGTTCTCCCAAATGGGGTTGGTGACAGTGACATTAGTGGGCAAGACTTGAAGGCAGTGGTTCTCAGCTGGGTGGATCGTGCCCCCAGAGGAAATCTGGCAATGACAGGGGACATTTTTTCTTATCACAAGGAGGGGAGAGAGATGCTGCTGGCATCTAGTGGGTGGAGACCAGGGATGTTGCTCAACATCCTACAATGCACAGGGCAGCCCCACCACAAAGTATGATCCGGCCCCAAATGGCAACAGTGCTGAGGTGGAAAACTCTAGGTTAAAGAAATGTGGCCGGGGAAACTGTTGGGCACACAGTAGGACCTCAGGATCCTAAAGGATCTCATGGGAGGGAGCCACGCCTGATAGGCTGTCCCCACCTTTGTCTTCCCCCTCAGATCCCCAGTGACTGTATCCCAAGTTAAGGGGTCAAACCAACTCTGCTTTCCACGCTCACCAGCAGGAAGTGGCCCCTTGGTTTGAGCTGTCAGTAGTAGGCAGGATCCTCAGTGATGAAAAGCAAGAAAGTAGCAGGCTGTGCTGAGTGCATTGTCTCATGATCTCTCCATGGTTCTCCATTTACGGATGAGGAGACTGGGCCTGACCTTCAGGAACTCACCCAAGGTCACACAGGTCCACCTGTTTCCAGAGTCCAGCCGTCACCCACAGCATCCTCCCAGCATCTCCAGGGATGCGGGGTAACTGGGTTTTATGTTGACTTGAGGATTTTAGCCAAAAACAGCAACAAAAGAAAACCCTGTTGCTTAACAATTCACTCCTTTGCTCCTCGCCATTTCATTCATTCAAAAATCATTAAATACCTATCACAGGCAAAATTATTCTTTGTTGGACACTTAAAAATTGCATAGATCTACTATTTTTTGGTTGTAAATAAAGTGACTATCATGATTACCTTTATTTCTATTGAGGCTAAGAGCTGGACCCTGGAGCAGGCCAGCCCCTCCTCCTCCTCTCTGCTGTGTGGCCCTGGGTAAGTGACTTCACCTCTCTGAACTCTGCTTTCCCATCTATAAAATAGAGATCATAATTCCTCCCCTACAGAGGGCTGGGTGAAGATTGAACATAATGTTCATGAAGCTTGGACTGTGCCATGCACACTGTAGGTCTTCAATAAATGGTAGCTGTTATTTGTATATGCCTTTTATATGAATAAAATAAATCTTTGATGGGCCTGTTACCACATCCCATGGAAATGGTTGGATGGATTCACACCCAATTTGGAGGGTATGTTTAGGGCAGTCTGACTTAAAATTTAGGCCACGGGGCACATGGAAAATGGAGAGATTCTGGAGCGCCTCACTTTAAGAACTGGAGCCTTTCCAAGGATGTCATGCGCCCCAGTAGGAAGATGGTGCCTCTGAGAAGCCAAAGAAAGGGCACTGGAGGGGGTGGGCAATGGAGAGCTTTGCACCCCGATGCCCGTGCCTCGCGCTTCCGGGCTTCCCACAAAGCTGATGAGGTCCCTCTGCCCCCGGAAGTCATCAGAGGCCTTGGCCGAGGACACAGAGGCACTGGGGCCTCCCTGGGCCCGCTATTGGAGTGAAATGGCCTGAACGGGATCGGGTGGACAGGGCGCTGCGTCAGCAGGCCGGGATGTGCTGGGCTGTCAGAAAGGGCCCATAAATAGGACACTCCTGCAAAGGCAGATGGAGTCTGCAGCCACTGCTGACCCCTCGGTTCTTCCCCAGGCGACAGCCGCAGGTTCATTCTGGGACGTGCAAGGGCGGGGAGCAGGAGCTGCCCTGGCAGGCCACGGGGTGTGCACGGCTGGCCCCGTGCAGAACGGGGCTTCACTTGAGGGTTGGAGCCGAGAGGGCGGACCGGATGCAACCACCAAGCTGGTGTCAGAGGGTGGTGGCCAGGGCTGGGCCCCTGAGCATGTGCCGGGGCAGAAGGCCTGCAGAGACTGAGCACGGCTGAGGAAGGGGAGTGGGCACATCTGGGGGGCTGCCATGTCCCCTGAGCGTCCTCCATGAGCTGGACCAGGCCCCACTTCCTGCTGAGGCTGGGCACCGGCAGGACAGACAGCCTGCGGGCTGTGCATGGCGGGGCCTGTGTCCGTGTAGACGGGCCACGCCCTGTGCAGGCAGGAGTGGGAGAGCTGGAGCCAGGGGGTAGCTTCTGGGTGTGGGGCGTAGATGTGGGCGCCTTGCAGACCATGGTGGATGCCTGAAACGGGCACGTGTTTGTGTGCCTGTGAAGGAGAAGAGAGGCTGTCCTCGTGCAGTGGATGGGGTGTGACTGTGACCACGGGAGCTTGTGTGAGCGTGCGCGTGCATGTGCTGATAAATTGGAGAACAGCCTCTGTGTCTGTGTGTGTGACAATCGTGAAACTCCTTCCACTACTACGGGGGCCTGTGTTGTGTGTCACGGTCCCCACAGGGATGAAGTGGAGCTGTCTGTCTGTGTCTGTGTCTCTTTAAGTGGCTGGGACACAGTAAGTGTTCCATAAATGCGTACAGGATGAATAACTGAGTGTATGGAAACCGGGCTGGAGCGGGTGTCCCAGGACCTGGTCCCGCATCACGCTCTCTCTAGATGTCTGTCTGTCCATCTCCCCTGTGTGTGGTCTCCTGGTTATCCTAGCGCAGGGCCAGGCACGAGTCGGGGCTCACAGAGTCACAGATGAGCGGGGTAAGGAATGAACAAAGATTCTAGTCTGCAGTGCGGAGGTGCAGAGGTTCCTGCAGAGGAAACCCCTGAAGCCCGCCCTCTGACCAGGGTCTGGAGGCGGTGTGTCTGCTCTCAGCTCTGGGTGTGGGGGCAGGGCATGGGCTTGGGGGCCAGGCCCGATCCCGAGCTCAGGGAAGTGGCCTCACCTCACTGGGCCTCAGGGTGCCCCTCTGTAAAACAGGGATCCTGATCTCACTGACTGTCTCAGTCCCTGTGGCCCATGGTACGTGCTCAGTGGATGTTTGTTGAATGACTGAATGACCGATGTAGGTCGTGAATAATGACCCATAAGCAGCAGAGTTCTGTAGCTTGTCCTCGACTCCAATCACATCAACACCTGGTTTCTCCTGGGTGCACCTGGTGACTCATTTTCCTTTGGTTGAAGCCGGAGGTGTTCCTGGGGAGATGGCGGAGCAGCACGGAACGCCGGAGCAGGCTGCAGCTGGCAAGAGCCATGGCGGCCTTGTGGGCAACTACAAGGTACTGGGCAGGGAGGGGTCCGGGGGCTCTGGCCTCAGGGTCAGCTTCCCGGCCAGGCAGCCGTTCTCCAGAAGGGAGCAGTGTCCCTCCAGCCAGCCGGGCCCAGGAGGACACCTCTCCCCTCTGCCGTCGACTCGCTTCCTGACGTCACTGCGTCTGCCCTCTGCTGTGGAACGGGTCACACACCCTGCCTGTCTCAACAGGACAGAGGGTCCCGGGGTTTCAGGAGACTTGGTGTGGACTCTCCTGCCTGACCTTGGTCCAGCTCCCGGCCCTCTCTGGCCCTCAACAGCCCCACCTTGAAAATGGGAATGATGCCCATTCTCCTGGGCCCCCAGAGCTGGGGGGAGCTAAATACAAATGCCATTACGGTAGAGAGTTGGAATTTGCTGGCTCTGCCGTCTCTAAACCATCCCTGGGGGCTTTGATTCCAGAAGGGGCCGAGGAGGGGCTGACTAAAGAGATAACTGGGGGCGGGGCATTTCTGAGGCTGTGCTGCTGGCTTGAACGAGAGCGGAGGAGACGACGAGGGAAGAACAGCATAGGGGCCTGCCTGGCTCTGGGCCTGATTCGTGGGTGATGTTGTGCTGGCCTGGCCCTGCCGGCTCTCAGCTTCCTCCTGGGGAGAGCGCAGCGTTGGTCTGGTGACCTCTAGGGCGTTGGCAAATCCCCAGGGGCAGCTTGCCCACCGGGAGGGTGGCTGCCACTGCTAGCCCTTCTTGCCCCCTTCTGTCACCTGTGGGCCTTGCCCTGTCCTTGCCAGGGCTGGGGAGAAAAGAGCCGGCCGGCTTATTGAATCCCAGTGCCTGCACTGACCTGGCTCTGCAGCCCGGGACAAGTGACTTACCCTTTCTGAGCCTTCTATAAAGTGACCAGAGCAGATGTTCCCCAAGGACCTCCTACAAAGACAGTGGGTGCTTCTAGCTGGATGAGAGAGGCCTTCCTCTGCCTTGGCATCCCCTTCGTCCCTGAGCGTGGGGCAGATGACGGTCAACCCAGGAGTTTCAAACTGGTGTTTCAGCTGTCCTGCACAGGGGTTTATAAATAACAGGGAAATTTCACATTTAAAAAAATATAGATTTCTGGCCTCTCTTGAAAAGTTTAGAACAGGGCCCGCATTCCCTCCCGGCCAGGAGCGGCTTCATTTTCCTACAGTCCCCGCTTGGGTTATCTGTTAGTTCACCTCTATTAAGGTCCGGACTGGCTCCTGCCAGATCCCTGGTTTCACTGGGGTTCCCGGAGGCGTTCCCCTCCACGGCCACCAGGGGGCAGCGCAGGCCAGCGGCGGTGCGGGCTCCAGGCTGGTACACGGCGGAGCGGTGGAGGGGACGGATGGTACCTCCTCCGACGCCCCGAGGAAGACCGGGGCTGGGGCGGGGAGCCCGGCCCCGCGGACTCTCAGGACGCTGCCCTTCCAGGTGATCGTGTACGAAATGGAGAACTTCCAGGGCAAGCGGTGCGAGCTCTCTGCCGAGTGCCCCAACCTGACGGACAGCCTGCTGGAGAAGGTGGGCTCCATCCAAGTGGAGTCGGGGCCGTGAGTACCGCGACCCCCAGCCCCTCCTCACAGCCCTGAGCCTTCCGGGGCGGGGCGGGAGGTCGGGTTCCAGCTCTAGATCTGCTGCGGGAACTTAGGCACCTCCCTTCCCATCTCTGGCCTCAGTTTTCCCATCTGTAAAATGAGGCGGTTGAACTGCGGTTCTCTTAGAATCCTTCTAGTTCTGGATCTACGTGGTGAGTAGCAGGAGAGCAGAAGACCACCCAGCGCCTGGCTCAGTGTCTGCCAAGTGGGGTTTAATCATTACGATTTTAATAATTATGACATCTGAAACTGAACATGCACTCCATCACTGAAACCTCACAACTGCCCTGGGAGAGAGCTGCCATTCTCATCCCCCTTTGACAGATGAGGAAACTGAGGCCAAAGTGGTTAAGTGACCCATCCGTGTCTACACGACAAGCAGATGTCCTTACTGGGTTCTGAATTCTTGCCTTGGGAGTGGAAGTCCAGGCTCTGGCACTAACCAGCTGGGTGGTCCTGGGTGAGGGTCACCCTCTGGGCCTCTGTTTTCTCATCTGTCAAATGGGGATAACGATGGCACATACTTCAGAGAGGGTTTCTGTGAAAATGAATGGAATGATGCACATTAATAATAATAAGTAGAAGAAGAAGAAGAGTTGTCTATGGAGTACCTACTGCGTGCCTACTGCGTGCGAACTTTTCTGAGCATCATACTCAGGGGCCACATGAAATAGACTCTCAATACTGTTTCCCAGGATGGTTTGCTGGCTCAGAGCCTCCGCTCCCAGTTTGTCCTAGTAGCTCCTTCAATAACAGGACCAGGGACCAGTAGAGGGGTTGGCAGGAGGGCGCAAGGTCGAAGGGCAGCAGCTCTGGGTCATGCCTCCGCTCCTCCCTCAGCGGCAGCACAGGTGACCCAGGCCTCCCTCCTCCCACAGGTGGCTGGCGTTCGAGCGCAGGGCCTTCCGTGGGGAGCAGTTCGTCCTGGAGAAGGGGGATTACCCTCGCTGGGACGCCTGGTCCAACAGTCACCACAGTGACAGCCTCCTGTCCCTCCGGCCTCTGCACATTGTGAGTACAGCTGCTGCCCACTCCGGGGAGCTCGCAGAAGCAGGATGGGCCGGGAGCTGGTCAGGCAGGCTCGTTTGACAAGCTTGGCCGGGGGCTTGGCGAGTCTGGGGGCCCGGGAAGGGCTCTCATCGTTTCTGACCTGAATGATGGTGTGGGACACGCACACGTTGGCTATCGAATGGTCCCTGGGCTGGAGATCCGGACCTAGGACTCACATCATGAATTAGCCAGCATGGCGCCGCCACTCCCCTCTGTAACCCTCCTAAGATTATGAGCCACACGGTCCGGTCTCAGATCAGTGATGCAGTCAAAGAAGTTTGTTCTGGAAAATAGCTTCGGAAAGTGACTGCAAAACAGCTGCAGTTCTTCCCTTGTGTTTCTCAAACTCCTGAGAGGGACTCGGTCCACAGGGACACGGTAAAATGTCACCCTCCTCTCCCACCTACTTCACTCCCCCTCGGCGGCTGCTCAGCCCCTTCTCCTTGTCCCAGTAAGTGATGCTCCTTACAGGGCGGTGGGAGGGGCAGCTGGGAGACCAAATCAGAATCCGGTTTAGTAAAGAGGGAACGCACCTACATTAATAATTTCATCTCCTTCCACCCTCTCTGCGCCTCGGTTTCCCCATCTGCTAAATGATGGAGTTGAACGAGACCTGAGAGGCCCCTCTGGTTTCGTGGCTCCCTGGCTCTAGGATTCTGAAGGAGACCAGCTCTGGGGGGACCTCCCAGGCCCCCAGCCCTCCTGCATTTGTGGTGGAGGAATCTCATGAATCCCCTCCCCCAGCAGCGGGCTTGGGGATGGGCATTATTTTGTGGTGACTTGATTCTCTCCCACATCTGGAGCCTCCTGGACCCCTGTTCTGGGTCTGGGAGCAGCCGGTTCACCCCGTGGTCTTGCCCCCAGGATGGTCCGGACCACAAGCTGCATCTGTTTGAAAACCCCGCTTTCAGTGGCCGCAAGATGGAGATAGTGGACGACGACGTGCCCAGCCTCTGGGCCCATGGCTTCCAGGACCGTGTGGCGAGCATCCGGGCCATCAACGGGACGTAAGGGACCCAGCCCCGCTCTTCCCCTGCCCTGTCCTCTGGTCAGTCACGCCCCTGGCTCCAAACAGAATCCCTGTTCACTGTCGCCTGGAGAGCTGACGTCTCTGCTCCTCCGGGTCTGGAGCCCTCATTCGGGTCAGCTGCTCCCGCACCATCCTCGCTCAGAGCCCTGCTCTAGAGCCCCCATGACATGAATGTCCCATTGCCTGCACTCCTGCACCACTGGATTTCCAGGAAGCCTTGACTTATAGAAAGTGTTATTTTATTTTTTCATCAAGTGGAATCTGTGCCCCCACCTATCCTCATCAGTCTTCACTCCTTTTCTGAGCATCCTCAGACCCTTGAATGGATTCTCAGATTTTTTTCCTCTTCACAATCCTTGCCCTTCTTACCAGGGGAAGAAGTGACATAGTCGTTCTCTAGGTGTGACCTGAGTAGTACATAGGTGAGCAGGCTCATCACCTCCCTCCTTCTACACTTTATATCTCTGTTAATGCAATCTTAGGACCACCTTCCCTTTGTGGATGACCACATCTCATTTGTGGGCTTGTGATCTGGGGTTCGGTCCTGAAAGATACCACCTCCCCTGATAATAATTTATTTGACAACTATTTACTGAGCATCTACTATGTGCAGGGTATGGGGGCAAGAAGAATTACACAGCCTCTGCCCTCAAGAATTTCAGTCTGATAGGGAGACAGCCAAGGAAACAGGTGTTCACAATTCATGGTGATCAGGACTGTGATGGGGGATGCTCTGGGAGTCCCAGCGAGGCACAGGGAATCAGGAAGGGCTTTCTGGAGGAGGAGACATCCGAATTGAGATATAAAAGATGCAAATGAAAGAGGGGGAGGGATAAGGATGAGGCAAGGAAGAGTCTTCCAGGCAGAGGGAACAGCATGTGTAAAGGCTCAGAGGCATGCAGGTTCAAGGAAAGCAGAAGAAGAGAGGCTGGAGTACAGGGTGTGAAGAAGGAGTGTTGAGGGATGAGGCTAGACACGTTCCGTGAAGGATCCTGTGAGCCGGGTAGGGAGTCTGAATTCATCCCGAGGGCACTGGGGAGCCAGCGGGGAATCGAGGCAGCTGGAGAGCACGGGCAGATGCTGGCTATAAGAGGCTCGGTCTGGCTGGAGGCCGAGGCGGGAGGCCGGCCGTCGGCGCCCCAAGCCCGGTGTCCCCGCAGGTGGGTTGGCTACGAGTTCCCCGGCTACCGCGGGCGCCAGTACGTGCTGGAGCGCGGCGAGTACCGCCACTGGAACGACTGGGACGCCAGCCAGCCGCAGCTGCAGTCCGTGCGCCGCATCCGCGACCAGAAGTGGCACAAGCGGGGCTGCTTCCTCAGCAGCTGAAGGCCGCCCGCCCCCGGGGGCGGCGAGGGCGAGGAGAGGAGGCTGCAGGGCCGGGCTGAGGCCCGCCCGTCCGCCCTGCCCCGGAGCCCGCAATAAAGCCTGGGGCCGGTCCCCCACCCGCCATGTTCCTCTGCGGCACTTCTTGAGGGGCCGGGCCTGGGGTGGAGCCGGGGGAGGGCAGGCTGAGGGAGGCGGGGCTTGGGGGTTCTGAGACCCCCGAGGGAGGGCTGCGAGCTGTGCTCATGCTCTAGGCTCTAGTCCTTTCAGGCAGAACCACACGTACCTCCTGCTCCGATCTGGTGCCTGTCTGCCTGTCTGTCTCCATCTGTCTGTCAGTCTGTTCATCCATCCATCCATCCATCTATGCATCCACCCGTCCACGCGCCCACCCACCCATCCACCCATCCATCCATCTGTGCATCCATTCATCCACCCACCCATCCACCCACTCTTCCTTCCTTCCTTCCTTCCTTCCTTCCTTCCTTCCATCCATCCAACTATGCATCCACCCATCCACCCAGCCATCCACCCACCGACCTACCCATCCACCCATCCATCCA